TAGCACCCGTCTTTCAAAAAGGCTTACGCAATCCAAGCAACTGTCTTGCCCCGGCGCATACCTTCGTCTGGTGGACAAGATCAGCAATTGTCTTTCTCAATCCGTGCAAGTCTGCCTTACAGATTTACCGGAAGAAAGGGCACTGCAGAGGCAGCACGGCCTGCGACAACAAAAAAGGCATCAACTCCCAAAAATTCTGAGTGCATCAGTGCGCCTTCTTCGCCTTCACAGGCAAGATCAAACCTCAAACCTCATGGAACCACAACAAGGGGCCAGTCGATCAGGCGCACAGAGACATCAGCAGCTTGGCCCGCCTGCTTTGGCTTGCAAAGCTATGCAAAGCTGACTGCCCCTGTACTTGATGTATTAACTCGTGCCATCCCACAGGATCAAGCATGATCAAGAAGCATTTTGATTGTACAGCATGGCTCCGAATGATGTGTACCAGTTCAATTCTAGTCAAAATAGTCGCGTCGAGCCTTGCAGCCGCAGCATGAAGCGTTGTTGGGCTTCAGCATGCCTTGAAGGCGCAGAATGAAGAGAAGCTGGCATTTTCCGTGTCCCAAGCCTAAAGCGGGCCCGGACATGTCTCTGTCCAATGCGATCACCTTTGATATCCGACAAAGCATTTCAAGCTTCACATATACTACTGCTCCTTGGCGATTTTACGGTATTGGCATTGTTTCGGTAAACAGGCACCCCCAGGTCTGCCTAAGGGTTACCGGGCGCATGGTGGCCGCTAGCCATCACAAGTGTTCTGTTCAGATGGAAATGTGTCAAGGACTTCTTCTCCTGGCAATCCTGTCACCACTTGGGAACCATCATTCGCAGCTTATCGCGCTGTGTTGTCATTTTGCGGCTTTTAATTCCTAACCATCCTGGTCTTGTACCATGTCCGCGAAGCCTGCCCCTTCCCTCCTACCCTTGCACTCAGGCACTTCCACCTCAGAGTCACCTCAGCAAGCGGAATTTTCCTGCAGCGCGCTCAACATATGTGCACAACCTGCAACATACTGTATGACTGCCGGCGCCATCAAACCTGCGTGTGGCATGGGAAAACTATCTTGAAGCAAATCGTGTTGGACGCCTGTTGGACGTATGTGGTCACTTGGCCGTGCTTGCTGAACCAGTCCTGCTGCGCCATCCCCTAGTTGCTACCGTTGGGCCCTGCAAAGGCCGAAGTCAACATTAAAGGTCTCTCAAAACAATTCACACCTGGATGCTGGACATGCACTAAATTGTGGATTCAAATGCGAAACTAGCCATGCTACGCCGCTACGCCACACTTTCAGTGACACTAGGCGTCCAAACAGGCCCACATCCCTTCCGCCCCTCAGCTAGGATAATGATTTGAAGTATTGGCATAGACCACGCGCACACACCTTCACGCACTATTGTAGCCATTGCCCAACTATTTAAGGTGTGGTGTCAATAGTAGCACCGCGACCTTACCTTTGACCTAGCTGATGAACCAAAACGGCCAAGCTGCAGCCTTGCAGGCTTGGTAGACCTGCGCAGCAATCCAAAGAAAGGAACGCAAGAACTGCGAACAGACAAGCACGGGTGATGGGCACTGTAGTATTCTAGTAAGCCATGGAGCGTGGCAATGTGGCGCGTCACAGAGGTTGCTTCCATTCTTACATTGACAACGGGATACTGCACGTGGATTGAAATACCCGGCTTGTCGCGCACCCCCGCACAAATCTGCTACAAGCATATGCTGCCAACAACTTCAAAGACCTTCATGACTGGAGCCTCCTGAAAGCGCAGATCGAATGTCGCATCTCCTCGGAGTCAAGAGAACACGGTCAGTGATCCGACATGATCCAGCTCTGCCGGTGTGGCGCTTTCTGTGCTCAACTGAAACCGGGCAACCGAATTTCACCAAGAGCAGCGTTGACAGAGAGCTTCCCCTGCAAGAAGCAGAACCTGAATATCGTTCTATTCCGTTGCTGCAGGAAGGCAGCCATTGGACACCGAAAGCTGCGTTGTCTTCTTCAATGGTCAGTGGCAGTCAGTCCCTCTCATTAAACGACCAATACTTGAGCTGGCTACTACGACTGTTGCTTCACAAAACAGCTAACTGGCAGTCACAGGCAAACAAATATGATGATTCAAGCGCTTAAGCACAGCTCTTGGCAGCTATGCGGTGTCTTGCAATGATGCATGGCTTTGTCAAGCAACAGGCGCATAAGCGGCTGCTTAGCACGAAAGATCTCCCGAAAAACGCCTCGAGGAGGCAAGGCGAACAGCACAGACTGGTAATGTACACGTCTGAAAACTGACTGCAGAGACTTAGGACTTGGGCCGAAGCATCTTTGGAAGTTGCGAGCAATGTCGCTTTCGGGTCTACCTGCCTGCCCGCAGGGGACGGCCGTGATTGGCTGTGACCCGGGACCGACTCAAAATCCTTCGGCGCAATGTATACCCAGGTATGGGATAGCATTGGGCAAACATTGCACCAACACAATTCTCACAGGGAAATCGAGCAGGGAGCCAGGAAACGTCCGTACCCTTGGACCAAGATGTTTAAATCTGCTTGATGCAGAAACAGTTGTGGAATGTCAACTGGACGCCATTTTCTGTTGAAGCCCGCCTTGTGTTGGGAGTGATAATACACCGCAGCTGCCTTTGGCGAGACACGGTAGGCCGTGTACCCCGACTTGGCGTGCATTATCCACTGCGAGCCTCAGATCAACCAAGTCTCTGCCGAAAGCTGCGAACTCATCTCTGCTGCTCCTGTGAGAAAGACACACATGCCACGGGCAGAAAGGCCTCAACCGCCGATGCTGGAGGGTTGCAAGCTGAGCGGCCGTTGCCGTTGCCAGCAAGATTGAACTCGCCCCCAAGCCGAGCCACGCCTGTGCTACGTTGCCAAATGTGAAGTCCACAATCCTATCGCCTCATATGAGCTATAGTCTAAACTCCTAGTATCCCCCTTAAATCCCCTCAGTTTGCATGGGGACTTCCTCAAGACCACCAATTCAGACCTTTTCCAGGGTCTGAATTGGTGGGCTGCCGGGCATTTACAGAGACCAATTTAGACCCTGGGGATGTTCGCGAAGAACCAGGGGTTTAAGACCTTGCAAGGGTCTTCTTCTTTCTGCTTCAGAGTTGGAGCTTGAGCCTCTAATGGGATACAAGACTACAGCTTATGGCCGTGTATGGGTTGTAGGGTTGAAGCTGAGGTCTCATAAAAGGTCCAAGGCCAGCGTACGGGGGTCCACATAGGAGTTTCAGTTGGAGTCCAAAGGCACGCGTGTATGCTCCTACCTTGCAATTCAAGATAGATGGCAGAGCGCAAACGCATCACCAGAGCCCTTGCGCAACTTCACGGGGCTGAGCTTTAG